ACCCACTCCCAGCAGTACCTGCCCCAGGGATTTGCTATTTTGTTTACCTGAGCTCCCCTAGGAGCCAGTTTATACCAACTCACACAAATGCAATTTGTTTCCCAGTGAAGTTCCACTGAGCTGGGTTTCACCTGTTTCATTCAGCTAACTAAACTCAGGCTGTGGTTGCCCACTCGTGCCCTCCCTGCCCACAAGGCACAGCCCTGCCACCCCTGTGCCACAGTAGCCACCAGGCCTGGGCACCAAACTGACAAACACTGAGGGGCACCCAAGCAAAAAATGAAAGAGAAACCTCCTGCCAAAAAGTTCCTTTCAAGGATGACTTGAGTTCATTCCCCACTTAATGAAAATTGTTTCATTGTTTCTGACTCATCTTCCATCCCCTTAGCTCTAATTTAGGTCCAAGTTTACCAACTCAATCTCTTTGCTAATTATCAATAACTTCAGATGCATCTCCACGTTATTGATGCTACAAAATTCTTGGAAAATCATGAAGCATGCTGGAATAATTTTAAGAGTTCAAGGTTTTTTCTTCACATTCAGCTCAGCATCACCTGTATTGGTGCCACTGAGGTCAACCAATACCTGGAGCTTTGCTTATTCTCAAATTCCAGCCTTTACAAATAAATGAACTTTTCTCTGCTTGGAACCACTCATCCAAATAAACAAATGTAAAAAATATTTAAATTCTAGTAGCTTAGGCTACCAGAATCCCAGCAAAACATCATTTGCCAGAAATACCCCAAGTAAGTATGGATTATATTATGTGTCCTCCTGGCATTTTCCATCAGTTTACATAACTTCCCTGGCCAAAGTGGGTACTGCTGCTATTTGTGCTTTAAGATTAAAACACAATTTCTAAGCAGTTTATGTAGCATAAAACTGCCTTGTATCACACCTAGTCCATCCAGAATATGTGGGAAAAATTATCTTGGAGCAGTATCTGATATTTATCTTCAGCTCAAATACCTTCTGTACTTCTGTCCAGAAAGACTGTGAGTCTGCACAAGACAAAGAAAACTTTGGCATAATATATTGAACATTTTTAGACATGTTTATTAACAGCATTCCCAGTGTTTCTGGCAGTGTCCAACAAAGAACAGAATAAAATACATTCCTCCACTGCAGCTTGGTTTCAGTTCACTCAGCCTGCCTTGCTTCCAGGTTTGTTTCTTTTATTAAGGAAAAAAACCAATTCCTTTTAGTTGATTTTTCTCCATCACCTCTATGGTCTCTGTTGCATCACAGAGATTTCATTCTTTCCAAAATCTCCTATTTTGTAAATAAACAGTAAGAATTGGGCATTTCAGCACACTGGTGAGAAATGATGCAATAAATGAATCAAAGGCTTTGCTACAAAGGTAACTGCTGGGAGGAATCCAAGTGCCCAAATAACCCCCTGATCCACATCCTGCAAAGGACAAACATCAATTGTGTGCCAAGGAACAACTGAACTGCAAAAGTGACACTTGTCAACAGAACATCAACCAAAAGAAATGGCAGAATTCATCCACAGCCCACAAGCTTAGATTAATGAGATCTTGTAAGACATAAGCTAAGCTCATGCTGAATATTTAGTTTTATCTATAAAATAAACTCAGAGTTCTCTGCTGGAATGGAATTGTTCAGTTTTAGCCAAACTCAGAAGTGAAGAAGAAGCCTGAACCCCAGGCTGCACAGCCAGAGCTCTGCTATGAGCAGCAGCACAAAGGCTGATTGCATCCCAAAAACCCTTCTGGTTTGTGGATCTGCACTTTCAGAGACCTCTGGAGTGAACAGGTGAGCAGGAAAAGCTCCCCCTGCTCCCTGCAGGCAGCCAGGCCTTGGTTACTCCTCCTCAGGACAAGCAGGGACAAATCACAAAGTGAGGCTGCCTCCAGAATAATGCAAGCCCAGAGCCAGGAGGAGGCTGCACAGGACAGAGGCAGCAGCAAAACCCCCACCTTCAGCAGCAACTCAAATCTTCCAGAACTCAACCAGACACTGGAATTTACAGCTATAAATGGATTTCTGAGTGCTCCCACTGCAGCAACTCTGAGCACAAGACAAAGGTATTGCAGTGACCTTAGACGGTCACTGTGGTGAGAGAAGGATGAGAATCTTGTTCCTTGATCAGAAAGCTTGATTTATTTATATCAAATAAATAGTACATTATAACTATACTAAAAAGAATAAAGAGAGAGCTTGCAGAAGCTGCTAAGCTAAGAATAGAATTGAAAGAATGAATAACAAAGTTCTGTGTTCAGAGAATCTGTCTCTGAGCTTGCTCCTGTGATTGGCCCCCAATCAGAAACACAGAAGATGAACCAATCACAGGGGCACCTGCTACATTTCACAGCAGCTGATAACCATTGTTTACATTCTTTTCTGGGGCTCTGCTTCCCAGAAGATGGACAAATGTGAAAAAAAAGATTTCTATGAAAAAATGTCTGCGACACAAAGGTTCCTCAGGTGAAATAAGGAGGGGCTGGACAGACCCCACAACCCTCCCAGTGCCTGAACTCACGCTGGATGTGGATGAACTGCTTTGGCTGCTTGAACTCCCCTTTGTACAGGCGGTTGTAGTAGTTGACATTGCTCTCTGCTTCAGGGACTGGGATAACCATGCTCTCCTTCTTTTCTCTGAACACTTGCTGTGCTGAGATGGCCCGTTGCAAATGATGTTCCTGCAAGGGGAAAATGGGAGAGGTCATTGAAATATCTGCACAAAGTCAGGTCATTGAAATATCTGCACAAAGTCAGGTCATTGAAATATCTGCACAAAGTGCATACAAAGCCAGCCAGCCTCTCCTGCCACTGTTCTCCTACAGGATAACAGAGTGGCTTTGCAGGATCCCTGTTCCCAGCTGTGCTCTCCTTCTTTTAGAGTTCCTGACTGATGGGAATCTTCAAACTGCACTGAATGAACTACAAACAGATGAAGAGAACTTCGTTCAGACACAGCCCACACCTTCCACCACACTGGGAAAAAGGCAAACATTCAAACTTCATAAAATAACCTCAGCAGAAAATTAGGGCTGGGGAAAGCCAGACCCACCCAAACCTGTCAGAAATAACACATATGCAAGATCAGGCCTTTAAAGTCAAAAGAATAGCAAATTTCATCATTCCTGTCTCCCCAGCAGCACTTACTGGCCTGCTGCTGGGAGTTTAGCAAGTTAAGAGCAACAGGAAAAAGAATTCTCACAGAATAACACCTGAACAGCAAGGGCTCCCCAAACAGGCATCCCTTCATTTTATCCTTATGGGCCACAAGTCACAAATCCCACAGAATCACCTCAGCTGAAACAGAGATCACAATAAATGTAGCAGTTCACAAAGATTATTCCCCACATAATTGTAGTTGTTAATTTATTAATTAACTCAGTGACAACGAGCTACTGTTGCAAGTCAGAGCTAAAAGACTTTTCATGTTAAAACTTAAACCACTAAAATTGTCTCAGGCTGAGACACCAAGGCCTTCTGTGTGTCAGGGAGTGCCATTCCTCACCAGGACAGACCCCACACCCTCACAGCCCGTGGGGAAAGTGAACAACCAAGTTCTCCAAACCCAGTATAAACTGAGAAAAGTGCAGCCTCCCAACAGATGAACCTGGAGTGAAGGTTTCATCCTGCTTTTACTGTTCTTCCCCAAAGTCTCCCAGATTTGAAGGGAGGGAGGGAGAGCAGGATATCATCAGGAAACCCAAGCTCAGCTCTGTCCNCCAGGAGGGAGGGCAGGTCACTCCTAGAGCCCTGAGTGACCTCATGGTGCTCCTCAGCTGGAAGCAGGGCTCCCTCCCTATTTCTGCTCACTCCTTTGATAAACATTCAAGATAAGATAAAAGGTATCAACAGGTACTTGCCATCATCAAACAAATCCAGTCTCATTTTCTCAAACAACCCCCACCACTCCTGTGAGAACAGCAGCAGCCTGGTCACACATCCCACTCCTCGTGCTTTCCTGCCACCAGCAATGCTCTGTTTGCTGTGCCCTGTGTTTATCAGTGCAGCTCCTCTCAGACAGGGGGGTTTACATGGATGCAGGGACAGCAGGATGTGTTTCTGTGCAGACAGGATGGACACAAGCTCCCAGCAGCCAGGGAGGTGTGAGAGCCTCAGGAATTGCAGGGTTGCCACTCCTCCCTTGGAGTTCACCAACCCAAAGCTGGATTGTCCCATGGAAGTGTCCATTTTTCATTTACCACTCCTCAAAACAATTTCAGCAACATCCTCAATCACAACTTCTCTTCTTTCCCCAAGCACTGAGTGCACTGCAGGTGCTCCAGAAAAAGCCATTTTCCACCCAGGAGCTGGCTCCCAAAGCCATCCCAAGACCCAGGAGTTTCTGTGCCATGGATCCATGGATCCATCCATCCCCACTGCTGTTCCTGCCCTGCCAGGGCAGCTGGGGGAGCTGCTGGGGAGCCAGCCCCGAGCTCCAGCCCACATGGACACCTCCTGCTAAATCCTGGGATATTCTTCTGATTTAGGCTGAATCCAGACCTTCTCTTCCAAAACA